CCACCAGTGCAATGACGCTCCCCCACCACGCCCAATAGGGATGCCAATATAAGGTCCAGTCTGGGGTTGAAAAATGGCATTAAGAATTGTATCATCCTCTGAGGAGGTCAGTGGGTCCACGCGCCAGGCGCTGGACCCGCTTTGTGTATAGTGGTGTGTGTGTTGTGCCAGGAGAGGAGAACCCGTTCCAGTAAAGGTCAGATGCATTATTGGTTTTAAACTATTCCCTCCGTTCCGTTCGTATTACTTACTCCGTTGATACCGTTTTACGTTAGTAATTAATAAAGATTTATGAGTACGTTAGGTTTTAGGCAAAGGGCATGACAGTACGTAGGTATTGTCATGCCGTGACACACCTGTAATAATTAGTAATAATTAAATAAGCTAAAAGTACATTCTGTTTCATTCGCGTAGTTAGTTGGCTTTTCCACAGGTAATTACAGGGTGGTTGTAGAAGTCGGGTTTAGGAGTTGGTGTAACCCTTTCGTTGGGGATGCAACGCTAAGACGTAATAATGGAAGTCGTTGCATATCCCCTAAGAAAGGGGAGTATCAACCCTCTAATCCGTCACAATGGTGAAAACGCATTCGATTCCCCATAAACCCCCCTCACAAATTTTTAATAATTTTAATAATTAATTATTTTGATTAAAAGCTAAGCGAGTCGCTCCCACTAGTTACGTGTATAAGTTACGTTAATTTTCATGATAGATGTTTTTTTGTAATAGTACGTTTTTCGGTAAAGTTAGTAAATTTTTAAAATTTGAATATTGCGTAAATATTGTGGAAATTATAATTGTATTCTTTATGTGTATTACTATTTGTGTTTATCTGTGTATTTTTATTGTGTTCTTTTCGCGGTGACGTGGTAGTTTTATTGTTAGTAGAATTTCACTACGTTGAAAATATAAGGGATTTTTATTTGTTTAATGTTTTGAGTATGGAATATGTAATAATCTAGTTTAATTTTATTTAACCAAATCTATTGTTTTGGCTGCGGTTTGCGTCAATATTATAATTGTCACCTAATATTTGTTAAGTTTAGTTCTAAAAAGTATATAAAATTATTGAATTTAAAGTTACGTAACTTACTTAAAAATTATTAAACTATATTTATTTAACCTATTTAGTCTATAATATTACAAAAAATATTAAAAGTATTATTTTTATTTAAAATCAGATTTAATTTAATTGTTGTGTGTGTGCATTCTATTTTTTTTTTCTTTTTCTTTGAATATAATATTACAAAAAATGTAGTTAATTTTATTTTAAAATTTGGATTTATTTTAATTGTTGCGTTCGTTCCATTTGTTTCCCCCTGGGTATATATATAAAAAAAAAAAACTCGGTCATTCATATCAATTTCAATTTCTGTAAAGCCACTTATAAATCGTCAAACAGTTTTCGAGTCGTTTCAAGTATTTTGTTTTGATAGGCTAGTGAAACACATTGCCCCCACAAAATATATTTCGTTTTCTTCGTAAATCTCAAGTTCCGTACACTTGACCCTATGCCACACACAAATCGTTTTTTTTTTGTCTTCGAAAACAGTTAATAGGCAAATATTATGTTTCAGTAATCCCTAGTATTTTTTTTCATTGATATGTTTATATACAGATCTTAAATATATTGTGTTTTTTTGACAATCCCAACGTCTCTGTTATGCCTCAGCACTTGACAATTTTTGACCCTATCGACGGGGTGCCGTAGTGCCGTACGCAACGCGACGGAACCGTTAAGTTTTTTGCACAGTTTGCGGCGCCAGTCGCATACTTGAAATAATCCATATTCAAAAAAAAAAACTTTCACTTTTCGTATATTCTTTTTTTTATACTAAATAATATAATTATAATTAAGAAGTACAGATAACCGCAAATAGTATTGAGTTGTTTTTATTTTTATTTTTTTATTGATTGTCGTGTTGTTTGTGTTTCGTTAATCTGTTCGCGATGTTTGATAAACCCTGTAATTACATATTTTTTCGAGATGATTTGCGAATGAGACAGAATTACTTAGAACATGATAGGTATAGATAGATACTTTAGTATCTATTAGTATATTTGTATCAGTAAGATTGATACTTTTTATTATTTTTCTAGTTTGTATTTTTCTAATAAGTTAGGATGATTTTCATATTTTTAGTTAAGATTTTATTAGGTATAGGATTACTTAAAATATTACATAAGTTATTAGGCTAGTAAGATTGTTTTTTTTTCTTTTGTTTGTACTTGTACTTAATAAGTTAGTAACATTTTAGTTAGGATTTTGATAGGTTAGGATAATTAGGATTAGTTTGTTTTTATAATTTAAATATGGGTTTTATAATCCAACATTGGCATAAGTTTTGTTTTTTTTATCATTGCAAGTGAAATTAATTGAGTTTTGTATCGTCGAGAATTAACCAAAGAGTTAGCAAATATTTTTAAAATGGAGTATGTTTATTTGCTTTTTCATGTGGTTTATTGTTGTTCACGGAGGGAATAGTAGTTAGCATGTCTATGATTTGAAAATGAAGTGAATTTTGAGGAAACGCGCGGTAACAAGGGGCGCAAAGGCCGCGTATGTGGAAAAAATTGCGTAGAGAACGCAGAGTTTAAAAAAAAAAAAAAATTGTAATAGCAGGCGGAAAGTGCCGAACCAAGATGTTAATGTTATTTTCGAGTTTATTGTAACTTTTTTTTCTCTTAATCGTTACATCATAGACATGCTAATTGTATCTGACCAGCTGGAGGGTTGTGTAATACATTGGTATTATGTAATTGGTTTGTAGTATTAGTATGTTTTTTATTCGTTTTTTTTTAATATTTTAATGTCGTGTATTTTCGTGTTTTTTCAGTAGGGTGATGCAATAATGAATTTAGTTTTATCGATTTTAATATTGTACTTTTCTATTTTTTTTCTTTCGTTTTTTTCTTACGCGTATTAATGGCGTTCTCATTCCCGCCGGAACGTCATTGCTTAGTGCTCAATTCGCGGCTTCATCTAATTGATCTTATTTATTAATTAATAATAGAATACGACTTTTCACCATAATTCATAATGGCAGCTAAGGCGATCAGTTCGACCGACGATTATGTGGCTTGGAAACCAAAGGCCTAGAAAACCTTGGTTAAATAGAGCGGGTGGGCAGGTGACATTTCCCTTCGAAAAGTCGTATTTCTACGAACACAGAGACAATTGCAAAGGTAGAACCCGGATTTGCAATATACGTATTTGTAGTTCGGCAATTAGATGAACGTTCATGTATTGTTCGGAATGATACGTGAACGGCTAAAGGCATTTTTTTTCGCTCTCGTTTTTTTTTCGCTTTTTAAGAACTATATTCTTTTGTTGATCATACTAATTTCTTTTTTTTCATACTAAGTTTTATGTTGCATTTTACTAATTTTAATATTTTACTATTTCATAATAAATTAGTTTTATATCATACGCGTAATTTCGTTACTTTTACTGTTTTTATCCTACTCTTCATTATTGCATTATCCGCTTTGTTCGCCATTTAATATACTAGAATTTCGTTTTTTTTTAGATTTATATATTTGTCGTTGTGTTTTTTTTGCCGTGCGTCGCGAAAGGTTTGGTTTGGTTTACGGATAGAGTTTATGGCCTATGTTACAAGGCGTTGAAGGCAATGAGAGTATTGAGGGCAATTGTTAGTTGAAAGTTAAATATGTTAGAGGTGCAAATGATGTATTATTAGATAATAATCTGTTAAGTAAGATAAGTGATAGTATTATTATTTTCGTTGTATGTTTTTTTTTTGTTCACTGATAATGTTACCGTAAATCAAATCAAACGAACGTTTGTAGTGTATTATCGCGTTAGTTTATACCGTCGGCGTTTTGTTTTAATTTGCGTGAAACCCTTTTATATGGACAAATTACGATCTTATTTTTATTGGAAATACTTTAATTCTGTCTCGTCAATAGTTATTGGCTCGTGTTTTTGACCGCCCAATCCAGATTAAGGGATCCGATATGGCAAATAAAAATAATGATGAATAATGAAGGAATAATCGAAAGAAGCAAGAATGGGTATTTTCAGATAGAGTGAAGTTGATATTTGGAATCAAGGTTAATTATACTTATATAAATAGATTTATAAATTTATGGATCGCGTCGTAGCCTTTACCATCTTTTTTTAATTATTTATTTTTAATATTTTTTTTCTTTATTTTTACTTTTTATAAGAATAGCCCGTAGACAGCCCGGCTGCCGAGCGACGTAGCGCTAAGTCGTGGAGGGCCGAGGCATGCGATAGGGCACTCGCGGTAAAAAGTTGGACTCGAGTCGCGAACGAGTACTACAAAATATCGTAAGAGCTCAACAAAAATGCCAAATTTTATAGTAGGCCAGTGGGTGTTAGGGAACACCGAAGTTCGTAGATAAGGCCATTCAGACTAACCACAACATCCATGGCACGGGCCTTATAAAATAGTTGATAAATTTTCAGACCTTAATTATAAGATTGAGCGCAGAGTTAGAAACAGTTGCAAATACGACACGGTCCACGTTAGTGGAATAAAAGAAGAAAGAAAGGAAAAAATATTTCTTTCACTTTTCTCTTCGTTTTTTTTTAATATAGATAAGAACTTATATATAGATGTACATATGTAAATAATTAAACATAATTATAGTAATAGATTTAGATTTAGGATTCCACCCCCCCTTAGATAAGTCGTAAAATTAGGCGTTAGAATATAAGAAGACATATAAGGAAGCTATATTGGGATTTTCGGTTGTTGAGTATAGGTTAGTTGCAACAAGATATAATAAATATAAGTCTGCAGGCTTATATCGGGACGCCATATCGGATTTACGTTTTTGTTTTATGGTTATATATGTGAGTTGAAAGCTGGGCCCAGTAGTCCACGAGCGAGGACCATTGAGATGTCCGAATCGATGGACGCGTACGGTTTCAATCGGGGAAACCGCCCTTAATCAACCCCGCAGCCGTCGAATTATTAGGTGAATTATTATGTATTATGGATTATTATGGAATATGGTTGTGAAGGTACCTTCAGCGAAGACCGGGATGGCGACATAGGTCGCAGCACGCCATCTCCCGTCAAGGGGGCAATCTGGGGTACTTTTGTGCCGGGCTGAGGAACCCCAGGTGTGTCACGCTTACTTAGGTGTTAAGTGTAAGTGCCATTTGTTTTTGGGTGGGCATAGACGGTCGGTCTAGAGATATTATTATTGGTATGGGGCTCTGCGGGGGGAGCAATGAAGGAAAACTAGATCCTAGCCCCCATCTGTGGTCTTGTATTTGGGGGGCAATCACACCAGTAGAGGCTGAATTACGGTAAACGTCGCGTCCGTAAAAGTAAACTAGTTATTTAAATAATTGTATTTTGTAAATTGAGGAGTATTTTTGTTTCTTGTTTATTGTCATATTAGTTTCGTTTTTTTTTCTTGTCAAAGTTTTTCCGCGCGTTACACAGTAAAAGATTGTCCATATCATCGGGTTCATGATTTCTGGCGAACTGATTTATAATTCGGGTTACGGTTATTCCATTAATTCTAATACTACAACCAAGAAAATAGGTGACAGCACACGCACATAGGATAAGATTGCGTTTCAAGGAAACGTGTTACGAAAAACGATTGTACTTCGAATATTTTTTTTATTAAGTTTTTGTCTTTTGTTAGTCTGTGGTATATAACTACTTTTTTTTTCTGAGTCTAATCTTGTTTTTTCTTTTTTTTTCTGAATTTGCTGAGTACAGTTTTTTCCCAACACGGTTTCTTTGAGAACGAAATAGGTTAAGATAGTCTTAAGCAAACGGACTTATTTTTGTATTGTAATTTTTGTGTTACTGAAGGATTTTGTTTTCGTTTTTTTTGTATTAATGATGTTGATGTATTTTTTTTATCAGACTTGTGTATATGTAAGTTTATGTTTACTAGCTGCTACGTGTTTTGAGTTTGTAATCAAAGGGGGAATAGCTTACCAGGATTCTAGGAATATCTGACCGGAACCACAACACCTGAACGATGGCCAGCACACAACCACAACTACAATCATCGTCCAGTAGCCAAGGCTCACACTTGAGCAAACTCAGTTAACCTAGCCAACCCAAAGACGAGGACCAAAGGGCAAAACAGGACCCTACGAAAAACACCGGAACAACCCGGAAAAAACCAGGAGAGGGCAATAATTTCAACTTTGAATTTAAGAGCCGAGGCCGACTCTACTGTGACAGGGGGGCGTGTAACGACAATCGGTATTGTCGTCAAAAGGGTTGCATAACCACCAGTGCAATGACGCTCCCCCACCACGCCCAATAGGGATGCCAATATAAGGTCCAGTCTGGGGTTGAAAAATGGCATTAAGAATTGTATCATCCTCTGAGAAGGTCAGTGGGTCCACGCGCCAGGCGCTGGACCCGCTTTGTGTATAGTGGTGTGTGTGTTGTGCCAGGAGAGGAGAACCCGTTCCAGTAAAGGTCAGATGCATTATTGGTTTTATAAACTATTCCCTCCGTTCCGTTATCGTTACTCCGTTGATACCGTTTTACGTTAGTAATTAATAAGGATTTATGAGTACGTTAGGTTTTAGGCAAAGGGCATGACAGTACGTAGGTATTGTCATGCCGTGACACCTGTAATAATTAGTAATAATTAAATAAGCTAAAAGTACATTATGTTTCATTCGCGTAGTTAGTTGGCTTTTCCACAGGTAATTACAGGGTGGTTGTAGAAGTCGGGTTTAGGAGTTGGTGTAACCCTTTCGTTGGGGATGCAACGCTAAGACGTAATAATGGAAGTCGTTGCATATCCCCTAAGAAAGGGGAGTATCAACCCTCTTAATCCGTCACAATATATATATATATATATATATATATAACTTAATCTTTTTTTTCTAGCTTGCTAATGAAGTTGCCAAAGCAGCGGGTTTGAAACAAGTCTTATTAGCGGAAAATGCTGCATTTGAAAACTGTTCTGCTGAAGCCTTGACAAAACTTGTTGTTGCAGTTCAAGAGCAATATAAATTTACGCATATTATTGGTGGTGCAAGTTCCCTTGGCAAGGCTGTATTGCCAAGAATAGCGGCCAAGTTAGATGTTTCCCCTATTTCTGAAATAATTGATGTTAAAGATCCTGAAACATTCGTTCGTACAATTTATGCCGGTAAGAATACATTGAGAAAATATTACAACAATACTTTGTTTTGTATGTTGCTTATATCTTGAATGGCATCGTGCCTAAAGGCAAATTGCTGGACTAATAAAATATTCAATTAAATGTTTTCAAATGTTATTATAAATACTGTAACTGTCATTGTTCGTATTTTATTGACAAAATATAAGAGCTTATGTATTTAATGATAATGTTTATATAAGTTTACATAAAAAGTAAATGAATAAAACTCAATGATCCCTTTCGAAGCAGAGTTAGAATAAAGATTCTTGTCTAATATTTCTCAGAGTTATATAAGTTGAGTTGCGAAAATTGAAATCCAAATTATTTGCAATATTCGAAAATAAAGAAAAGACTAGTGGGGCGCATGGCATCATGCTTTAAGGCAAATTGCTAGAACTTCCCGTACCGTAACGAAATGTTCGAGGAATATTATATGTTTTCAAACAGATCATTATAAATTCTGTAATATCGTTAGATATTTATAAAAATTATATAAACTGAATTGCAAAATTGAAATTATTTGTTTATAGTATATTAGAACATTAGTCAGAATTGAGAATAAAATCTGAATTATTTTAGATACACAATTTTTTTTTTGAAAAAAAAATTGAAATAAAAATTTTGAAACAAAAAATTTTTTTTTCAAAATCAATTATTTTGTTAAAACAAGCAGAAAGTTCTTTGAATCATACAAATCGGACGCTTAGTTCCCTCAAAAACTGCCATTGTTTGCACATTTAGCTTTGTATCTTCGAAACGGCTGGACTTGCCTTTGCCAAAAACTAATCAGCACATCTCTCTATCAATAGGAATCAAATGTTTTTTAAACCATTCAAATCGGTTGATCTGTGCTCCTGAAAACGTGAACGAAAAAATGCGGATTTGTGTACTTTCTGTACAAAGTTCCGAGATACGACGCATGTTTCGTATCTCGGAAACGGCTGGACCGACCTTTCCCAAAAACTAATCAGCATTAAATCTCATGAGTAGGAATCGATTGCTTTTTCAATCATTCAAATCGGTTGAGCGGTACTCCCGGAAACGTCGACGAAAAATTGTATCCACACAAACGCACACACACATCCATTTTTTTTTAAGTATGCCAAAATGTTCAGGAACCTCTAAAATGTGAAGATATACAAAGAATTTTATTTTCGATTTTTGGCCTTTTAGTATAACTTACCCTACGGGAAGGTAATTGAGCGCGGATCAAGACTGCCCTAAAGGGTATGGGCGCTTTGCCATACAGAATCGGCCTCACCCTGGTATTTAAATAATGTATACGTCATTTTATAGGTCTATTTCATAAAAACCGATATACGAATTTTCAACTTTGTATCTCACCTTATGGCCGAGATATCATTGAAAATATGTGAAAGTGGCCCCTTTTTTCAAACTCACTTTTTGGCGTAACCATAAAAGATATCGCAAAAAAATTTACGTGGTTCTATTCATATTGGCATAGGCCACATTATGTAAAACAATCGATGCCAAATAATCATTTATTATTAGCTGAAAAAGATAAAATAATTTTTCAATTGATGTTTTCCGGTAGTGCGCTTAGTTGAACCACCTTCTAATTAGCGTTATTCGAAAGCCTATTGTTTTTTTTTTAGTACCGAAAATATTGTTCATATAAACTTGGTGGAACACATAGAAAAATTGAAAAATTCGGAGCCAGTACAACCGCGCGTAACGCTAATAGACCTGCAATTGCATGCAGTTCGTTATTTATATTTATATATTTAACTTCCCGTAGGGCAAGTTATAGTAATCGCAAAAAAATCGAAAATGAAAATTTTTATATATCTTTACGTTTCAGAGGCTTCTGAACATTTTGGCATACCTCAGAAAAAATGGATGTATGTGTGTGTGTGTGTGTGTGTGTGTGTGTTTGTATGTATGTACGTGTGTGTATGTATGTGCGGATACAAATTTTCGTCGACGATTTCGGGAACACGGATCATTCGATTTCATAAATAATTCAAAAAACATTCGATTCGTATTGATAAGGAGACGTGCTGATTAGTTTTTGGCGAAGGCAGGTCTGGCCGTTCCGAAAATACGGGGCAAAAAGTGCCGAAAACGGTAACTCAGTTTTTAAGAGAACGGAGCGTCCGATTTTAATAATTCAAAAAACATTTTACTTATATTGACAAGGTGAAAAACCGATCAAATTTTCATAAAGGCAGGTCTAGCGGTTTCGGAGATCTAATGAAAAAAGTAACAAAAAAATGCCATTTGGCGGTCTTTATGCAGTTAAAGCAGTACGATTGCTTTCAAAAAAAGTTTAGATCTTCCAAAATATGTCAAAATAAAGAAAACATTTTTTTTTTCAAAAAAATAATGAATTTTTTTTCTTTTTATTTTTTTTTCAAAAAAAAGTAATTTTTATCCAATTTATAGTTTCTCAAAAATCTTATTTTTTCGAAGTAAATTTTTTTCAAAAATGTTAATTGGTTTTAAAAAAATAATAATTATTGGTACGGGAAGTTCCAGCAATTTGCCTTAAGGCACGATGCCTTAATTGCCTTAAGACAGAATTCCACTTACAGCTAGTTAAATATATTTATACAACACAATTGTACAATTATAGATATTATATGGTACATAACTTAAATTAATAGATAATAATACAAACAATATGAAAATGAAATATAATTTAAAAAAACAAACGTTCACTTAAAATCTTATTCTAATTTTTACAGAATAATTACTGAAAGTTATAACTCAAATACTTATCAATAGAGTAAAACACTTGCTCTTTAAAAAATGTGTTAAGTAGTTTATAAAATTTCCTATTTCCAACTTCTCTAATACCTAGTGGCAGCTTATTGTAAAGCATTATTGACCATCAAAGGTATTAAATGAGGAGGCTAGTTTCAATGTGGGACCTTTTACAAGTTTATGTCTTGTGTCATTATAAATACATTCGGGATTTGGGGTTAAATTAAACAGGTTGCCATTATTTTTTATAAAACAGAGGGTGATTAGGAGAAAAATGCATGGAACGGGTAGAATCTTGTGCTCATGGAAAAAAGGTCGACAAGATGTAGTGGACGAAAGGGAAAACATAACTCTGATTGCTTTTTTCTGTAATTGAAAAACTGATGTTAGTAACGGTGAAAACCCCCAAAATTGAATGCCGTAAATTACATTAGAATAACTAGCTGTAAGTGGAATTCTGTCTTAAGGCAATTAGGGCATTGTGCCTTAAGGCAAATTGCTGGAACTTCCCGTACCAAAAATTATTTTTTTTTAAAAACGATTAACATTTTTGAAAAAAAAATACTTCGAAAAAATAAGATTTTTGAGAAACTATAAATTTGACAAAAAATTACTTTTTTTTTGAAAAAAAAAATTGAAAAAAAAATTATTAAAAATTTTTTTTTTTTAATCTTTTTTTTTGAAAAAAAAAATGTTTTCTTTATTTTGACATATGTTGGAAGATCTGAACTTTTTTTCAAAGCAATCGTACTGCTTTAAATGCATAGAAACAAAATATAAAGCGCGTAAGCGCCGCGTCGCTGTCTAACGGGTAAACATTGGTACGGAACCCATAGGAATGAAAACAAAATTTATACTTACTGTTAAAATCTCTATAAAATATCTGATAATTTGATGTGCATATGTCTAATGATCATTTTTGACCGCCAATTGGCATTTTTTTTTTTACTTTTTTCGTTAGATCCGCTTTTTTTTTACTTTTTTAGTTAGAACCGCTAAACCTGCCCTTATAAAAATTTGATCAAATCTTCATCTTGTCAATACAAGTAAAATGTTTTTTGAATTATTAAAATCGGACGCTCCGTTCTATTAAAAACTGAGGTACCGTTTTTGGCACTTTTTGCCCCATATCTTCGGAACGGCTAGACCTGCCTTCGCCAAAAACTAATCAGCACGGCTCCTTATCAATACGAATCGAATGTTTTTTGAATTATTCAAATCGCTTCATCTGTGTTCCCGAAATCGTCGACGAAAATTTGTATCCGAACACACATACATACTACGCACACACACACACACACACACACACACATACATCCATTTTTTCTAAGGTATGCCAAAATATTCAGAAACCTCTGAAACGTAAAGATATATAAAAATTTTCATTTTCGATTTTTTTGCGATTACTATAACTTACCCTACGGGAAGTTAAAAATATGAGTACATAATAAATTGTGAAAAGGCTCTCTTTGCTTACTTTCATTTTTAAATTACGAAGCATAAAGCAGGTTTTTGATAATTTAGGATTCAGAGTGTTAATTATGTGATGATCCCATTTCATATTGTTACTAATATTTATACCAAGAAATTTTGTATTATTCAAAAACTCATAAGTGTTATTATTAAAGACGTTCGGACGCAAAGTAGTGCGTGATGCGCCCGAATCCCGAAACGATTGTTAAGAAACTCGGAATGCGAAAATATTTATTATATAGATATATATGTTTTGTTATATTGCTGATATATAGGATTTTGATAAGTAAATAGGTATTGTTTTGTTTTAGGTAACGCTATTCAGACACTGAAGGTGAAAGATGCCACTAAAGTCATATCTATTCGTGGCACCAGCTTTGAACCAGCTGCATTAAATTCTTCTCCAGCTGAAGTGAAAGATGTTCCAGAGGGTGACTATAATTCCGATTTGACCACATTTATATCCCAAGAACTAAGTAAATCAGACAGGCCTGAATTATCAAGTGCTAAGACTATTGTATCAGGAGGTCAGTGGTCATTCGCATATAAATCTAAGTATAAAGTAAAGTAAAATACCTCACATGAAACATAACTTTGTTGAATATCTTGCAAACAGATTTACAAGAGATAACAGTATTTATCTTGTGGTTTTTGTTGTTCATTTTTGTTTAATTAATAACGCTATTTTCAGTTATAAGTATATTGTATAAGGCTTACTTGTGCCAGCTAAACTTGTACCATACTTGTACATATATAGCATGATCTTCGAACAATTGTTGACTTTATATAAAAGACAGTTCTTAAGTCTAATAAGTACAATAATATTGAAATAATATACTAATAATCAGGGCCGGTCCTGCCTTGCATGCTGAAATAGTTTGTTAAAGAAGTAAAAATAATTTGCAAAAAAGATGGATTGCAATAACTATTTTAAGGGAGTCTTCCTATGTGACGGCCTGTTTTTTAGGGATATTTTAGGATTTTTTTTCTACGACCAGTAAATATTTAGAGCTTCAAGTTTTTTATCATTTATTAACACATATTTGGACAGTATAAATATAAAATTTCAGCTAAAAATATTCAGTCATACTAGAGTTACAGCGCTCTGAACACCCCCGCCTCGAAAAAAAGAGCTCCCACTTCCTCCACGATTCCGGCTGATCGGCTTAACTGAAAAAAAAAATAAACGGCGTTTTAATTTGTAGGCTTAAAAGCACGGAATGACCTATAATCAAATGAATATAAAAAAAATTGGATTTTTGATAGACATTTGAAATAAAAGTTGCAAATTAGGCGTTTTTTTTTGTTTTTTGCTATAAAAAAATCGAAGTTTTGAAAATTTTCTTGATTGATAATAGTTCATTCCATGCGTTTAAATATATTGAGTGTGCCCTGTAAATTTCAAGTAATTCAGTCGAGCCGTTTCTGAGATACAATTGAGGAAAGTTTGAAAAACACAGCTTAAAGAAAAACGCGTTTAAAGTTTCAAGTCCGTTAAAAACTATCAAAATATCAACTCTTTTACCTGCTGTATCTTTAAAACGACTTCGAATTTTCTAAAATCGCTTTACTACCGTAATTTTAGACATGTTAAGGGAGCAATTTATGAAAAAAAAATCGATTTTTTCAACCCATCACATAGGAAGACCCCCTTAAAGAACAAAAGACAAAAGATAATGAAGCATTATTTTGATTGAGTTATTACAAGATGAGAGAATTTTAGACCCGCAATCTTATTTTAGTGTATACTATTACTGTTTGGATATATTAATTTCACAAACCAAACAAGATTTCAAAACCTTTGCGACGTAAGTCATTTGCGAACACAAACACTTTGCGACATTTGTCTTTTTGAAATCGAGAATTAATAAACGTTTCCGGAAAACTGTCGACTGAACTACTGTAAAGAAATATTGTATAATATCTCATATGATCATGACCAATTGATAGTTCTAGAAATAGGTTTGAATACAGAAATCTAAGAAATTTATTTCATTAAGGTACAATGATGGATGCAATGGGGTTGCATCCAGTTTTCCCAACGAAATAGCAGTATGCATTTTATTCTTGACCCTTCCAGTTACAATCGCAACTGCTAAAAAAACATTTAAAATTAAAACTAATTAAAAATTACGTAAATACTCTAGGACATAAATGTCTACAAGACCTGTATGTTCCTAGAGAGAGAAAATTTATAAAATTTCAAGATCACTAAATGAGTCAGTTTTTCAAAAAAAAGGTAAGGAGAGTGAAAATATATCTGGAATCATTTGTGAAAAATTCAGAAAGTTAGAGAAAATTAGATAGATAAATAATTAGAATGATAAATAAATATTCTTTTAATATTATTTTTATATTTTGTGAAAAAAAAATTTCTTCTTGAGGGGGCCGCCAAACAACTTTTGATACGGAGCCCCGCCAAAGCACGCTACGCCCCTGATTATTACATACGGTCTTATTGTGTGTTTTAATTCAATAATAACAAAATAATTTGTTATTAACTTCCCGTAGGGCAAGTAATAGTAATCGCAAAAAAAAGAAAATGAAAAGTTTTATATATCTTCAGTTTTCAAAGGTTTCTGAAAATATTGGCATACCTTAGAAAAAATGGATGTATGTGTGTGTGTGTGTGCGTGTGTTCGGATACAAATTTTCGTCGACGATTTCGGGAACACGGATGAAGCGATTTGAATAATTCAAAAACCATTCGATTCGTATTGATAAGGAAACGTGCTGATTAGTTTTTAACAAAGGTTTTTTCTAGAAGCTACTACTATTACTGCTAAAATTATTACTTCCGTTTTGTATTTAACGGCATATACCAAATGTGTATTCAACCTTTATGAAAAATATCTATATAATCGATAGTTTTAATCATATCTCATAGGTCTATAATGTTTTAAGGGGTTTATTTTGACAATAAACTATGTTACTATGCAAATTTTCATCAATAATCCATTAGACTAGTTTATTAGACTGTTCTTAAACCAAGCAAGAGTCTAAAATAATGAAATTAATTTTCTAGGACGTGGTTTAAAGTCTGGTGATAATTTCAAATTATTATTTGACTTAGCGGATAAGATAGGAGCTGCAGTAGGCGCTTCTAGAGCCGCGGTAGATGCTGGATTTTGCCCAAATGATATGCAAATCGGTCAGACAGGGAAGATTGTTGCACCTGTAAGTAGCATGCTTCTTTTAATTCTGATAAAAGTATATTAACCTTAATTTGAAAACATTAATTTACTAATATATAATCCTATGTGTTTGTAATAGGGTTTATACAAAAACCGATCTTTCAGAAAACCGGTTTTTGAATTTTAATTTCACTAAAAAAACGGTTTTAACCGGTTTTCGAATTTTATATAGAAAATAAATTTTTGCTCGAATATTCTGTAATTTATCCGCAAATTTAGTGTAATTTCGAGAAGAATTTGACTGTATTTATTTATTATTCAATTTTGTAGATAGTAAACAAAATTATTTTAATTTCAATTAGTAGAAGTGAAAAATAATAGTTTATCTTGATTAAATAACTTTGAAAATAATTATTCGTTATTCATGCCTCTTTTCACATATAAGAATGAAAATATTGTTATGATAGTGAAAGGAAAGTTTTCGAACAAATAAAAATAATTCATTTCTAAATAAAAAAAATCATTAAATTAAAAAATAAAAGTAAAAAAATATTAGATACATGTTAATACATACTTGTTAATATCTATTTTAGTTTTAAAAATAATTAAGCTAAACTCGGATATTGTTTGTTCCGAGAAATTTTAATTAATTAATTTTAAACATTCTAATTGTTTTTTGTTTAATGAAATATGATTTCAAAAAACTGAGAACGTCTACCGAATTGCTACTTATTGTTAGATGTGTCTTTTGTTCACTCATAAAATTTCCTGAAATAGAAAATACTCTCATACTAGCGACCAAATTATGCTTAATCATTTTTAAAGCCTGATATAATAATTATAAGTTTTTTGTTCTTTAATTTGTGGTTTCTACGGTTTAAAACTCTTTTTTTTTAAGTTTGTGTAGTGGAAGTTACTTCTTCAAGAAGAAGTCACACTGATTTAAATTAATATATACACTGCTATAAAACTCTAAATTAATATATACAAAACATTTCTGGGAACCATTGCAGACTGATAAGATATAAAATGCTATTGAACCGATATGATTTCAAGAATCAAAACACTTTCATCTATCTTTTATATTTGGCTATATTTGTCATTTTCTATTTATACAGTGAAAACCGACTTTTTTCACTAAAAACCGGTTTTCGAATTCCATAATTTTGGCAAAAAACCGGTTTTTGAAACCGATTTTTGAAAACCGACAAACCGTAGTTTGTAATAATTTGTCATCTTTGTGTGCGTATTTATAGTTTAAATTACGTTAAAGATAGACTATATTATTTGTATTCAGATTATGCGTTTTGAGCAAAAACCTTAACATTTTTTTTTACATTTTTAACGTATTCAATGCGCACAGCATGATTTGATATTGAATACATAAAAAAATGGCACAATTAAGATGATGCAAGTGCGGAGATACTTGAAATGTTTAATTACCAATTATTGTATGGAAATGTTACCTTAACATTACAAATAGTATTTCTGACAAATTTATAATTAACTTCCCGAAGGAGAAGTTTATGTTTCCATAAAAAAATCCGACTTGCGAATTTTATGTTTTCTCGACGTTTCAAGCCATTCTGAATCGAATGAGACCAAATTTAGAAAAAGTATGTGTGTGTGTGTGTGTGTGCGTGCGAACAAATTTTTTGACGTTTATCGACGTTTTCTTCAAAACGGCTCGACCGATTTCAAAAATTTAAAAGCCATTCGATGTATCTCTATGAAGACTAGCGTTTCACAGTCTTGTGCGACGATCGGCCTGGTCGTTTCTTTGTAAATAGCAGAAAAGTGAAAAATTTTTCGTCCACGTTTTAGCCCGCAGTTCTGAATCGATTTTGAAAATTCAAAAACCGTTCGAAAGACATTGGTTGGGAATCGTGCTGATTAGTTTTTGGGAAAGATCGGCCGGGCCGTTTTCTCGTAATCAAGTGTTGAAAAAAAAATTTCGACAATTTCTGAAATCAGTTCAGGTGTTTTTGAGAAAACGTCGATCAAAGATCTAATTTTGACAAATGCTAAAAAAAACGATACCAATTTTTGCAAACTTTGATAAATTTTTAAAATTAAACGACTTGTCGTAGGGCCGTAATATTTTAGTATGATCTAGAAGACTATGGTATCTACCGTCAAAAAAATAATCATAAAAATCGTCGAATTTTTTTTTTTTTAAACTTTATTACAAGAAAACGGCCCGGCCGATCTCTACCAAAAACTAATCAGCACGATTCCCAACTAATATCTATCGAATGGTTTTTGAATTTTCGAAATCGATTCAGAATTGCGGGCTAAAACGTGGACGAAAATTTTTTCACTTTTCTGCAATTTACAAAGAAACGGCCCGGCCGATTGCCGCACAAAACTCAGAAACGATAGTCCTCATCGAGATACATCGAATGGCTTTTAAATTTTTGAAATCGGTCCATCCGTTTTGGAGAAAACGTCGATTTACGGCAAAAAATCTGTTCACACACACACACATACTTTTTTTAAATTTGGTCTCATTCGATTCAGAATGGTTCGAAACGTCGAGAAAACATAAAATTAGCGAATCGGATTTTTTGATGAAAACATAAACTTCTCCTTCGGAAAGTTAAAAAGATAAATTAAAACTTTGTGTCCTTCTCTACGCTACCAATAAATGCTTCTAATTCTGTTATACAGTTTTCAATAAGCTTGGATTATGCAATAACGACAAATAAGTACAAGGGCGAAAAATATAAATTAGGAATAAATTTGGTATGATGTACAAACACTCAAATCATCGGATGTGTTGTGATGTTTGACCAATGTTTTGTTCAATTTTTCAATCACAATTTTTGCAATTAATTGAATAAACTAGGGTCATATTGAATGTATGAGAGACGGTGGATTTCATTTGTGAAAACATTCTTCAAAAATCCACTTAAATTGAACATGAATCTAGTTTATTCAATTGTACAAGTGCAGTGTATTTTTTGTTAAATATTCAAATCGGGCGTTCCTTTCTCTCTGATAATGAATTACCATTTTCAGCATTCTTCGTCTCGTATCTTTGAACCGGCTGGACTTGCTTTTGACAAAAACGAATCAGCACGTCTCCTTATCAATAGGAATCAAATGTTTTTTTGAATTATAATATAAATCGATTGATGCGTGCTCTCAAAATTGCTCAACATGAAAATATATACAAATTTTTATTTTTGTTTAAGTTGAAGTTTAAAATATAAGCTGATTCTAAAATCGATTTGAATGCTGTGCCTGATCTTATATGTAACATATTAAAATGTAATTTATTTCTAGGAACTCTATATTGCTGTTGGAATATCTGGAGCAATTCAACACTTAGCTGGAATGAAAGATTCTAAAACTATTGTTGCAATCAATAAAGATCCAGAGGCACCCATATTTCAAGTTTCAGACTTTGGTTTAGTAGCTGATTTATTTAAAGCAGTTCCAGAGTTAACTGGAAAGCTTTAGTAGCTAATTACTATAATTGGCAGCTATACAAGTATTGTGCAGGTGTATTAATTTTAATACAAAACCCATTTTAATGTGCCTAGGAATATGAACACTTTCTATTAGCTCTGAATTTTTGGTCAAATAGCTGTGATAAGATTGTAAATTCAATATAATATAACATTGTATTATGAGGGTTTTAATAAATCAAAACAAATATACATTGAATCAGTTTATCTTTACATAAAAATAATATCACCTTCACCTAATTAAATCTTTTGTGATCTAGTTCTAAGACGATTATCTATCATGCCTTCAGTGCTGTGACATCCATGTGGAATCTATGTGGATTTCAAATTACTGGGGAGATTTTGGGATCTACAGGCGATAAAATATTAGTAATTTTATTTACTTTATATAAGGTGAGTATACGTTTCGGATTGGCCTGAACAGTCTTGGATTTCTACCTTGTTCCCGGATTTGGATCACTTGTCTCGGATTGTCCCAAGTTTTCAAAAATTATAGGCCTAAATTGAATTTTTGCATTTACTTGTAAGCGGCTATTGTACAAGATCTGTAAATTCTGTTCAATTTTCGTCGACATTCACTTGAAAAAAAAATAGCACTGGTTTGTTTGTTTTCATAATTTTTATAAGTTAATTTTCGTGAATTTGAAAACAAAAGTTGCAAATTATTTATCTGAGAAAAGCTTGTTTAACCCACCTTTGAAGATTTGTATTTCGCAATTTTTTCATTCATAATGTTTTGTTTTATATGAGCATACTTGCTGTCGTGCAACATAATATATGTATATCATTCCCTAATATTTATGATAGGTAATGGTAATTTTACTATCAATAGTAACTGCATTAATACCGATAAAAAATTTCAACTAGTGAGGTGTATGGCATCGTGCCTTAAGGCAAATTGCTGGAACTTCCCGTACCGTAACAAAATGTTCGAGGAATATTGAATGTTTTCAAATAGATTATTATTATTAATATTGTAACATTGTCTAATATTTATAAGAATTATATAAAATGAATTGCAAAGTTGAAATTATTTGTTTAAAGTATATTAGAACTTTAGCTAAAAGTAAAAATAAGATCTGAATTATTTTCGATATACAAAAAAAAAATTTTTGAAACAAAAATTTTTTTTCCAAAATCAATTATTTATTAAAACAAGCAAAAAGTTTTTTGAATCATTTAAATCGGACTTAGTTCTCTCAAAAACGATGCAATTTTCTGCACATTTAGCTCTGTATCTTCAAAATGGCTAGGTCTGCCTTTGCCAAAAACTAATAACCACTTCTCCCAATCATTATTAATTGAATGTTTCTTAGATCATTCAAATCGGATGCTCCGTTCTCTCAAACACTCGATTTCTATTTTCTGCACTCTTTACTCTCTATCTCCGTAACTGCTGGACCTGCCTTTGCCAAAAACTAATCAGCACATCTCCCTATCAATAGGAATCGAATGTTTTTTGAACCATTCAAATTTTCGGCACGCCCGAAAACGTGTGCGAAAAATTGTATCCATACATACATACACACACACACACATCCATTTTTTCTGAAGTATGCCAAAATGTTCAGAAATTTCAAAACGTCGAGAAATGCAAAAATTTTCAATTTCGATTTTGGACGATTACAATAACTTTCCTTACGGGAAGTTAATTCCGGTGTTTCAATATTTTTGGCTTTTAAAACCAAAATGGTAAAATACCGGTATTAATAATATCTTTAAATAATGCGAATAAAATTTAAAGTTACTTATACAAATATAATTAATTGCTGGAACTTCCCGTACCGTAACAAAATGTTCGCGGAATATTAAATGTTTTCAAATAGATTATTATAAATACTCTGAAAATTTGTCTAATATTTATAAAAGTTTTATAAACTGAATTACAAACTCAAAATTATTTATTTAGACTATATAAGTGATCTTTAAAACTTTAGCCAGAATTAAAATTAAAATCTGAATTATTTTCGATATACAAAAAAAAATTTCTTGGAAAGAAAATATTGGAAAAAAAATTTGATTTTTTTCGTACTATAGGCTATGTGCGAAGGCATGGAAGGGGAAGTCAAATCGACCGAAGCGTTCGTAGTGGCTACTTTGAGCATTAAAGTTAGCTATTATAACAGAAATTTTAAATGAAAACACATAAAATATTTGTTTATTTCAAATTTAAATAGGATAATTAAAAATGAGCCACCAAAGCTGTTGTATAGTGGGTTGTAGAAATACTAGCAGGAAAAGTGACTGCAAATTCTATACATTTTCTACAGCTAAGTGGAAAAAAAATCAACGGAAAAAGTGGATCGCTGCGGTTAGAAGATTAAAGTAAGTATCATAACCTTATTGTTATAAAAATACAATTAGGAGTATTATGAATAGTTGTAAAATTGTTATGTTTAGCAAAAAGAAAAATTATAAGTCAATAAATTGTTATATTATTGTTGTTTAAAGCTTACTAGAAAAAATTGTTTTGCAAACAATGTAATTAATACAAGACTGAAATAATGAAAAATAAATATTTATATATTGTATATTGATTATGTATAACTATTATCTATATATTAATTACATTTTATTATATAATAATTGTAATTTTATGATTAAAAGAAAAATGAAAGTTATCACATAGCGCTAAAATGTTTATTTTGCAAACAGTTTATTTAATACAATGCTGAAATAATGCAAAATATATATTTGTAGTGTTGATGGATCACCGCCGTGGGTTCCCAAGACCTATGATCGCATTTGCGAACATTTCATTAGAGGAAAAAAATCGGACGAGGTATTGAGTCCTATATCTACTTGCCAACAATATTTCCTTCAATTTACAAGCCTCGAAAAGTTAAAGTAGTTTTTTTTCCTGCAATTTTATCTGACGGTTGATGGAATCAAATCATGTCTTTATAATAATGTCTATTGTAAGTCTTTAGTTTGACCAAAAATAATAAAAAATGAGTAAATTAATTTATTATTTACTTATTCTATTGATAAAATATTTTTATCATCACTATATATTGTTTTTATTAAGAACTATTCCGAGATTATGACATAAGCTTTGAGGCACTTAACCTTAAAAATGTTTACTGCATTTCTTTATTTAATTAATCATTATACTTAATTATGTTTTAAGAACGTTGAATAATTTCAATAAACATTCGGCGTTCACATTATTACTCTGTCGTGTTTATTATCATTTATAACAATTATTTAATATCTTTTTTCCTTAACAAACATATAAAACCCATGAAAACCACACACTGATAGCCGTCATTAGTTCATATTTATAGTGTAGTGCATTACCATATCCTAATACCATGGATTATTAAAATTTTCCAATTTAACACTAAGATCAACTAATTTTTCCACTGAATGAAGGCTAGGATTATAGCCGAAACGTATGGATTTAAAATAAATTTTTGAAAGAAATTCATGTTTTTTATTGATGTTATGCCCGATTATTAGACTTTGTTAATATATATATATATATATATATATTGAACTGTAATAACAATTCGAATCATATTTTGTTTAATAATTACAAAACGTGTTGCTAGTTATATGTAGGTTACGCGGACATCGGAAGTGCTTACTGTTGGATTTTGTAAATAGGTTGTAAACAATAAATTAGTATATAAGAGTTAAACAAAAGTTAGACAGTCAGTCAAACCTGGAGAGAAGCTTGGAGTCAAGCTTGGAGCCAGACATAGTATTCAGTAAAATGTAGTCTTTGCTGATATGATAACCAAAAGGTTATCAACAAATATTAATTGTAAAAATAGTGAATAATAAAGTATCATTCAAAGAAAGAAGTGTGTTTACAAATTACTATCAAATCGCTGTTCGTCCTAAAGGCCTTACACACTACCAGTGGACTCTGGAGAGGAATTTTCTGACGGAGACATCAAGTTCAATAGCTGCCACAACTTGATAAACCCGACGATCATTCGCAGCACAAACTAAGGGATGGTGGCGCCTACCGAAGAACTTTAGAACGAACACGAGACTACGACTAACTTGGACATAACTGTCTCATCGGATTCAAGTAAGCAAATCAAAATTTAATCATATCTCAAGATGGAACCCATTTTTGAAGAAGCTAGAAAAGGTAAAGATAATAGTATAGAAATAAACAAATTTAGAATTCAATTAGCAATTAGCACTATACCCGAATTCAATGGCAATTCAGATGACCTTTATAGATTTTTAAGTACAGTAGACTCAATTTTAGATGATGTAGATTTTAAGACATACAAATTTATATCAAAAATTGTTATTTGTAAATTAAGTGGAACAGCTTTTGATTGCATTAGACGGGCTGATTATCAGTTATGGAATAATGTCAAACCTATTCTAATTAAACGTTTTAAAGATAGAAGGTCCATCGCTGAGTTACATCACGAGCTAGCAACAACAACAAGAGAAAATGGGGAATCGATTGAGAAGTTTGCAGAGAAAGTTGAGAGTTTGCTTACGTTAATAAACAACGAATGCTATTTTACACAAAATGAAATAGCGTATCCATCATATTGTGACTTGGCTTTGGCAGTTTTTGTTAAAGGCCTACCATTGGACTTGAAAATTATAGTTAAAGCAGCCAAACCGGAAAATTTGAAAGATGCTATGCACATTGCTGCAAAGGAAGAAAAATATTTAAACATCAGATCTGATAAAAAATACAACCCATTCGTCACTTGCAGATACTGCAAGAAGAGGGGACACCACATTAACCAATGTCGAAAACTTACAAATCGGAAAAGAGATGACAAACTTAGAATCTACAATGGTGGAAATGACGATAGAACGGACTACGAAAGTAATAAGGATCTGAAATATACAAAAACATATGATGATACATACAAGGCATTCATAACAACTAAAGAAGAGTCCGAAGAGTCCGAAGAATCCGAAGAATCCAAAGAACAAGAAGAATACAAAGCAGAAAGTTTGACTCACAACACCAAAATAGAAGAGTTGACGACAATCGCTGCAAATTCATACGAAGAAGAAAAGGATCTATATGCGGCCGAAGATATGGAACAAACCATACGTGCAAATTCATACGAAGAAGAAAAGGATCTATATGTGGCAAAAGATATGGAACAAACCATAC